ATCTTTGTATGTAGACTACAAGAGGCTTTGGAAAATATTTAAAAAGATAAAAGAGAACAACCTTCCCAAATGTGATGGTTTGACAAAAGGGCAAGGATCAGCCTCTACCTCTTGCTATACCTGCTATACCCTGTAATGTTTTTCTTTTGAGATTTTCATTTTTGACTGCAACTGAAAACTGAAGTTTCCAAAGTAGCTAGAATCAATTACAGCCTGCATGGGTAACAAGTCTGACTACAACAGGGGCTTTATTTGCTATTTTATCTGAAAAAATTAAAGTGCAAACATATGCAGCAAAACTGTTTTGGCCTTTCTCTTCTTCAGTGTAAAGAAATGTTAAAATTTAAAACTCCAATATTTTTACTGAAATAAAGGTTATTCTTGCCACAAAGCAGTACCGATGTCTCATGGCATAAGTAGATCTTCAAGTTAAGTGCTTTACTGTGTATAAACTGCGATGATTTGACTCTTTCACAAATCAGAAACTGTTCTGCTGCCTAATATCGCATACAGTTAATATTGTATTTTGGGGGAAAATGATGGAATTTGACATTGTAGAATTTATTAATAAAACTTTGAGGATTAGTCAGGAAATATAACACTAATAGTAAGCAGTCAAAAACCAAATACTATTTTCTACTTTGTTCAACTATAAGTACAAGAATGCAGCAGCTAATTGAATTGAAAGAAATATTTCAATTACAAACCTTTTAGACTATTTAAGTTCTATATTTTACCCAGAAACTACCCGATATTCAGACCGTACATATAGCTTGTAACATGGAATCCTAAATGATATTCAGTTAACAATGTTGCAGGAATTATTGTTCCTCTTTGGCTTTCTCCCCAGAAAATCACTTTCAGCTATTTTGGAATTGGACCATATATAAGCATGAATGAACCGGATAAAGTCTAAAACCTGATAGCTGCTAAATGTTTATGTAATTTTAAACCAAATTACTGCCCATGTTAGTTAGTACTAACAACAGGTAGGGAAAGGATACTGGTGTTAAGAGTGCATGAAAAGAAAAACTGAGATAAAAATGGATGCCTACCAAATGCATAAACACGATGTCCAGAAAAAGAATGGATTGTAAAGAACATCCTCTTTTCTTCAGTAACAGATGCAACTAAAAGCAATACATAGCTGTATGGGTCATAGGGTTCAACCACAACTGAAAACATGTTTAGTGGCCCTTTTAGTTAAAGGAATGGAATCAACACTCTTACTGAACCAGGAGACAGGTACAGAAAAAATGATAGTCTTTTTTTAAACTCTCTGAGCACACTGAAGAAACTAGACCCCATAGTAATCAGGCTTACATGCATGATTACCCATTTCCTCAGTTACACTAATAGTATTTTGGAATCTGATTACTAAAGTAATTGAAAACTAATTTTTCAGATGAAAGTGCTTCAAGCAAAGAGTAACATGGATGGCAACTGAGACATATGCATGTGCTCAGAGATATAAAGGTACAAAATTCAATTATGACATTAGAAGAGAAGAATACCTCTCATTCACAGTATAATTGCACATGCAAATTCACTAGTGAAATCTATTTGGTGCTTTTGCACAATGTTAAAAATATGATAGCGGGAGGAAATATAACTAATTCAAAGAAACATTCCAGTTCTTATCTTTTCTATAAATCTGGTCTTTTCTATTAAGAATGTAGATGTTAATAATTTGAATCTTCTAACAAAAGAACCTTAACACAGTCCGAATTATGTGCATCTACAGTACTTCGTATTTTCACATTAATTTCACACTAATTCATGTGCTACACTTTGTTGTTGTTGTTGCTGAAGACTGAACATTGTAGTAATGGGAATTGGATTGTGACTTTTTAAGAAGGAAAAAAAGGAAATAACCTAATGGATCTCCTGGGCTTAGGCTAAGCCTAAGCCTACCTGCCTATGCAATGTGCCAATACTACTAAATCCATAGAAATCAGAAGTGTTAAGAAAAACTTTTAACACTCTTATAGAAGAAAAAGAGATGAAACTCTTCACCAGCTTCTCCCATGTGCCGTGGGTGGGCTTTCTCCTCTAAAACAGAAAGATGTTGCTCTATGAAGGAAACCTACACAGAACTCTTTTAAAATCCAGGTGAAAGGAATAAAGAAGATTTCCCTAGCAATCACAATAACTCTTTTATCTTCTTCACTGCATTAACGTCATGGATTTTATCCAAATAACAATAGCTTGTGAGCCCCAGGATACATACATAAGGGATGTTTAGATTACCAGTTAAGTGCATATTTTTGAAGAGCTTTTACAGGACATGTGAAATATGCTGAAACAGGAAGATAAACAACTGTGCAATGTAACAAGTGTTCTTAATGTTATTTTATTAGTTTAAAGGAACCTGAAGCCTCTTACAAAAATTGGCATCTTATAGATCAGAGCCACTGATGTACACCTACTTACTTTGCATTGGCTTCCCTTGGGAAGTTGTTGAGAACAACTACATACAGTACAGAATTAATCTTTTCACCCTTAATACAGCATGTAAATTAACAAAGTTCTTCAAACACCATGTATAAGGGAAGGAAATAACCTCTAGAGTCTACAGTATTCCCGCATTAACTGGTTTTCTATGTTTTCCTATACATTTTTTTCTTTTTTGTCTTCTCCAACACTGTCAAATCTGGTTACAAAAATTCTCAACTTAGACATGCTACAAAAATCAAATCATAAGTGAGTAATTCTCTGACTGGCATTAAACCTTTGTGCTTAATGAAGAATATACTCACAGGAGAACACTACATTATTTTTTTCACTCGTATGTGACTCATAGAAGTAAGAGGATACCATACAGAAATGATGCCTGGCATTGTTTTGTCTTGATTAAAATTCAACACAGGTTACATCCATGGCTATGCAATATACCAACACCATGGCATCTTCCAGTTTCAGATCAACAGTGTCTTGCAGAGGTTCATTTTGTACCAGCACTCTAATTTAGCACATTTTGAGTTAAAACTTCGCTTAGGAAGGGTCAGTAGTGAGTCGCTAGACATGGACCAGCTCATACGTAAATGGACCATGTACCATACAGTGTCAGATGAAACTTCTGAATTTTGGAATTAAATCAAAATAATGCTTTCAACTTGGCAGCAGCATAGCTGACTAAGACTAAAGGGATGCTGAACTCAATAAAATTCTGTAAAATAATCTTAACGCAGAATGGCACTTTTGAATGATCTTATGCAACACAGTGAAGTACATGAATTGCAATGATAGAATAATGGACTGAGCAAAGAAAAGATGCTTTCACAGTGAGACTTGAAACAGACAAATTATGAGTCAAAAGGCAACTTATGTGGTGATTTTAATACTTCAAAAAGGTATAGCTTTAAAAGCCCTCTATTCCACATTTTAGATAAAAGCTCTCACTTCTGTAAATATTAGTATCTCTAGAGTAAAACCCTTATATTGAGTTGAAAGAAACACGAGCCAGTTGAAGTGCTCTTCTGGGAGATGCTTGAGGGAGTGTAGTCAAATTGCTGCTTCACTGACCTTACAAATCTTCAGTGCTTCAGACTCTGTATTTTGCTTTGCCATGATCATTGATAACACATATGTGCTGAAAAAAAATATAACACTGATTGCAACAGCATAGTTGATGACATTATTAATTAATGATTTGTTCAGAAATACTTTTGCTTGACCAATCTAATGATCTTGTAATTACTTCTTCCTTTCCACAGACCTCAAATTGAATTCTGGTTTCTCCCTCTAGCTACTGCAAGTTTTCCCACTTGCAATTCCCAGCTTTGAGGTCCACTTCTGAGAGTACCACAGGAAGCAAAGGCAAGGCTTGCACATTTTTCAGTCATTATCCCACCGAGAAAAAGGGCAGGCCACATAGCAGTAAAAGTCCAAACCTGTTTGAACTGTAGCCATGTTTCACTTTTTACTACTCTTTCTGGACAACACTGGGAACGGTGGGCCAGTGAAGCCCTAGGCTCACAGAAGACAGAAGTGTAGCAGAGGTATGACTTCTGCTTTTAGGGGGAAAAGATGAGAAGAAACCATTCACAGTGCTGAGCAGTGACTGCTTTGGATTATCTGAGGCTTTTCAGGAAGTTCTACACTCCCTGAGCCATGACATTAAGGCTCAAGGGATGAAGTGAATTACAGGGTATTTAAGACACCCTAGAGAAATAAACCAGATTTTTTTAACTAATTTTTTTTTTAAAGAAACTTACGTTTAGATCTCTGAAATGCTCGTTGTAGTCTAAGGCGTAACCTACCACAAATAAATCTGGAATTTCAAATCCGTAATCTGTATTGAGACAATAACAAACACCATCAATACAGGATCAGTGGCAATTATATAGCCTTTAAAATCATGTGTTGGTTCTCTGACTGGCAAACTATAGATTTATGCAGTCAGTTGAGGTTATATTACTTTTGACTCTGATACATCAAGGTCAGCAGTAGCCCTATAATCAGTTCTCACTCTCAGTTCCCACTCTCGGTTCCCACCAGTGACAAGGATGTCAATAGGCAGTGGAGAGTAGGAGACTTGTGTACAATTGTCACAGGCACAACAGACACACTGAAGAGCTGAAAAACTCTGCCTACATTTGGAAGCTCCGTTAGTTTATGTGTGTGGTGACAACTGTCCAGTATCACACTAATGATGAAAACAATGTACAATTTTAATTCAGAAGTAACTTTCAGAGATTTAAACATTTTCTTCTGAGAACAGCAAAACCATATTTTGCCTATTATGCTACCAAAACGTGTGAAATGCTTCTTAAAGCCCAACCTTATGAAGACTCATGCATATGCTTGAAAAAGTAAATGCGTGCAGTGTAGCTGAATCATACAACTCACACACTTGAAGCTAAGCAGAAGCATGTGTCTTTTTGTGTGTGAAAGTCAGTGCATCATCAGCACTACACAAAACAAGTTAAGACTCTCCAAATTGTTCACTAAGTAACTAGAGCAAAACACAGCCTTATGGACACAAAAGCAGGTCAGCATAAAAGATTTTACACATATTCAAGTAAGGAATTTGTTCCATTGTTAAAAATTGTGGGTAATAGACACTTTGGAATCATAAATTTGGGTGAGGAACTGACACACCACTGTCAGTGATTTACAAGGGAGATCTTTGATGCTTTATAAAATTCATCACCGTATGAATAAACAAGGATACAACCTGTTTCACTTTACAAGTTACTACATAAAAATATTAAACTATCCTTCATGAAGTAATTTAATTGCATTTTTAATGTATTTAACATCAGCAAATCCAGGTAAATGTACACTAAAATTAACTGGATTAAATTCTAAATGATAAAAATACCACTGTATAAAAGTTGTACAACAAAATGTTTAGGTCACAGTTCAGATTACTGAGCTACAACCACAGTGCCATGCCCAACATTAAGTAACTTTTGTTTCATAAAGATTCCCTTCCTCCCACAGTCCAAATCAAAGCCCTTCAGGCTGCTTCCTGGTACCCACCTGCCTACTCTCCTTCCACCTTCCTCCCCAGCTCAGTTGACCACAGCTTTCTTCAGTATCAAATACTGGTTGATCTCTTCTAGATGGATCTATTCTTTTCAGTATTTAGCCACATACCTGTTATTACGTCATTCATTCTAGTAAATCTAAAATTACAATAGATTTGGTATAGCTCCACTTATGGCTTCATCATAGCACGTACAAGTACCAATAATTCTGAGGTAACTGGTGCTGGTGTGACACAAACAGAGCAGCAGGAAGAAGTTTAAAAAGCCCAATCTACCTTTTGCGTTTTGGAGAGTGGGATCTAATTATAGTAATATCACTGATATTATCAAACACCTCTCATGTTCAGATGGAATCAATCCTGCAGCTCCTCCAATGAGATGCAGTGAGGAAGAAAAAGGAAGAAGTGGACTTTCATTTCCATATAGTTTTCAGACACAGAAGATAAAGCATTCACCTTCTATGGACAAAATTAAATGCTTTCATAACTTCCCTATAAGGTTAGTACTCTGCAGAAAACATCAGACTATAAGGAGGCTAGGCTTTCCAAACCACAATCCTTCCATTGCATCCCATAGTCCCATTGACAACTGATACTTTAAAATGCTTCCAGCAGTCCAGAGAGTGTTATTAAAGGCAGTGGTAGAAAAAGTGCTAACTTTTTGTACTGTCATGTACAGATTTTCACAAAGATACTTACAGTCTGGTCTGTACCCATCAGGCCGAGATGTTCTTTTCACCAACAAACTAATTAAAAACAAAAGAAACCCCATGTAAAACTAGGTATTTACCTGAATATCAAGCATAAAAACTATTCCTTTTACCAATAAACTTCTGAGCCATGTGAATCACTGTTCTTGTTCTGCTTCTCCCAACAATGTCCTGATGGCAGGGAAATGATGGGTGTGCTCCCCTTCAAAGTCCATCAGTGCCAGCCTTAAATGGCTGAAGGGTCATTGCCACAGCAGAACAATACAAGAGCATTTCCTCTTCTTTTCTCCACCCTCCTCTTAGTGACTCAGGCAGCTCCACTCCAGAGCTCCCCATGCAATTACAGCATCAAATTAAAGCAGGATCTCAGAATGGGAACCCCCACTGGGAAATATGGGCTAGACTAATTAATTACTAAGTTTTGTGATTTACTCACCTTGCCACTTTAATCATTTTTGGCTTGTATTTTTCTATAGTATTAAGTAGAACCTTCATAGTCCTTCCAGTTCCAACAATATCCTTACAAAACATGAAAAACAGAACAAGTAAAAAACAAAGGAAAGCTGAAAAGAGGAAATCTGGACAATGACTGAGCAGTTCCACCTTCTTATTCTGTGGAAATGATGTATTTTTCCCAGTGCATTGCAAGCTGCTCCAAAAAAGGCTATAACTGAGCTCACACTCTTTGAAGCAACCACTTTCTACTCATAACCAGTTAAAGCACTGCCCACTTCCTCTAGAAAACAGCTATGTTTCTTGAGTGCTTGAGATGTAATACAGGATTGGATATGACTTTACTGGGCACTGCAAGGCTGCAGGGATCAGACTTCTCATACTATGCTCAAGACTACAATATGTCAACATCTCTCCATGCCAGAGCTATATCTGTCCTATTTGTTGCTTTATCAGTCCAGCACATATGAGTGTTCTCCAGAGCTGCTGTACCCAACCTGATCTGAATGAGATCAGTAAATACCTGACTACAAAATTGACCATGAAACGGGGAGCAGCTGCTGGTCCTGAACTCTCTGGGTGTGGATTTTTCACTTTGACCACTGCACCCCATCTGTCTAATACCATTAACAAAATTTGCTGTGGGCGTTTTTCATTTCAGTAAGCATTATCAAACATGGAGCTCCTAGCAGCTATGCAGGTAATCAGCCATCTCTGTGGCTGATGACTTTTTTCCCCACCTTTGCTAAAAAAGCCATTTCATTACGCTGTCCAGCTTACTTCCCACACAAGCACATCAGGTGTGATGTGCTCTCTAAGCATCCCAGTTGCTTTTGCAGCGATTTGAAAGAGAATCACCTACATTAATTGAGAATTTGCAGCACCGGTGAGGTGATACATTCTTTTGCTCTAGAATTGAACATCTGTTGCTTTACACCAGCAACGTACCTGTGATGTGCCCTCCCCAGGAGACACTGCGGGATGCAATGCTAAGGAGTGGGATTTGAGAGAATGACTGACATTCTCAACCACTGTGTGAACAACCCTGCAGTTGTAAAAGCACATGAAGGGCTATGCTACTGCTTCAAAGTTATGCAGCTGCAAAGCGCAGGGCATCACAGCAGTTGATTCATTGCCCTCCAAGGAACAGAACAACTTGCAGAACAGGAGTTGGTGAAACCATGGGAAGAACAAATCAAATGACATAGAAACAAAGCCTCCCTCATATCACAAGGCAGAGTACCAATTAGAGAGGCAGCAGTGCAGTGTTAATGCAGTTGCAAGAAGACTGAGATGTCATTAAGCAAATCAACCCCTCTCCCTCTTCACCACCTCCCAGCTGAAGAACTGTAAACACAGACGGTTTTAGATACTGAACACACAATGACGATTTGACTGTGTAACTTTATCCAAGTACAATATGACATAAGCACTCAACTTACCTCCACAATGAGGACATTCTGAAAGAAACAAACAAAAAGGAGCACAATTACACACTATTCAGAAACTAAAAGAAACAAATGCTTGGAAAAGTGAAATGAAGATAGTGCAACATGGCAGGACACAAGAAGGTTCCTGTTCCGTTTTTGTGGGCTAATAAAATCAAACTTTGCAGTCAGGGGCTACCACTTTATTCAGCTCTATCTAGATTATCCTATCTGCATCCCAAATGGGATGATCTTCACTTCATTCCAGTATGCCTGGCTGTGTACTACAGTGTACTCAATAGTTCACTAAAATACTATTTCCAATTTTAATGAGACGACAGCAATAATATTCTTACTCAGAAATCAATGCTCTTCCTCCCTTTCCCCAGCTCCCACAAACCTCACAGTAAAGGATTACAGGCTAAGTTGTGCCACACATTCTCTTTCCCCCTTCACGCTCTTTCTCTTCAAATACTGCTTCTGCAATCAATAGTATTATTTGAAGAGAAGGGGATTGGTCCAGTCAAGAGCAGTGATGTCAAGAAAGCATGATCACACAGGCTGATCTTTTTGCTGAAATAGTTTCAGGAATCACAATGACTTCTGTTCTTTCAAAAGCAGTAATAAGAAGTCATGTCCTTATTAGGAGAAATAAAAATCTATTTGTTAATGAGCATTATCATATGCATGTTCAAAAGAGTGGTCTTTTATGATCTACTTTCTGAGGTGAAACCTGCAATAGCAAGAGGAAAGTAATTTCACAAATATCTCTATCTATGTATGGTTGTATACATCTTGCATGCACGCACACATTGTACATCCCATAAAGCTATGACAGTTTCATATCCATGCAGTATTCACCAGACTAGCTTACAATCCAGTTCTTTTCTCTCAGGTTTGTTGGCATTGTTATGTGCATAACACGGAGACGGTCTAACATCCTTTTGAATCACAGAATCCCAAGGCTGAGTTCTGAGAATGACTCAAACACCATGAACAACAAGTGTGTGAAGGGAGTGTGCTCATAAACAGCACACCTTAGACACTTTCATTAACAGATAGGTACCTTGTACATCTTTTTTTAATATCCAGAACAGAAATTAGTAATCTAGGTTATCCATATTTATACTCATACTGCAGTTCCTCCTAACAATCACAGTGCTTGGTACGGAGACATAGCATGCTTCATGCATCAACCACTGCAGAAACATGTTACCACATACTGTATTATACCTGGATGCTTCTTAAATGGAAAAACACTTGGTAAAGGTGTGGAGGGAACTCCCGGTAGTAGTTCAGCAGGTGTCAGCAATGGAGATAGCTCTCAAGAAAGCCACTAATTTAGACTGAGCTCTGGTGGAATGTGTATTAATCTTGGAGGGTGGCTCTGTTTTGGTGTTTTCATAACAGGTTTCACTGGTGGTTATCCTGCTCAGCACTCCTGACTTTCAACCTCTCAGCTGCTGACACAAACAACTCTGTATCTGAAAGACCTAGTCCTGTGGAGGTAAAAAGTCAAAGGCCTCTTAACAAGTCCAAAGATGCCCTGCCTCTAGAGATTTCTTCCTTCAAGAAAGTATGTCAGTCCTCTAAGTAAGATGAAGAGACCAAAACCATGTTCAGGAGATGCTTATGACAGGTGTGCACATTTTCTTGAAGGAAGCCATTTGGAGCCAGTAAGGGCTTGGCTCTCATTTGGCTTCCTGGATGAAGTCATAACTAGGAAAAACAGTTCCAAAGAGTAGCCCAGGACACCTGGGTCTGAGGCATAAGCAAATCACTTGATGCAGTCAGTGAATACCTGAAGACTACGTGCAGGAGTAATGGTTTAACCATCCCCTAGGGAACTTGAACAGCTGGTAATACATGTAAATATTTATGTGTGTGTATACACACACACATATATATGATACAGGGAGAGAGCAGAAGAGTTGACAAGGAAAGAATGTCACTAGAACTGAAAACGGAAATGAACTCCTGTAGTATCAGCAAGCAGTCCAGGATGACTGTGAGTGACACCTGGTAAGAGAAGTTGAACTGACATCAGCTTAGCATCATGACCTATTCTGCCAGGCTTGTGCATCTCTTGCTGCTCTTCATACTGTTAACAAGGAGTTTCCTCCTGAAGGAAAAGCACAGATCTTCTAGTGACAAGACCTATCCAGCAGTTATGGCATGAGATGGGACATACCAAAACTGACATGGCGGAGGGCTGCCAAACCCTGCATTAGCAGGCTATGTCAGGGTGCAGCAAAGGCTGGTTGCTGCCTGGGTGAAGATGTATTACCTCAGTTTCCTCTTCTTCAGATTAAACAAGCCCTATTTATTCAGTATTTTCTCACAAATCATATTTGCTAGCTTTCTGATCATTCTTTTGCTGTCCTCTGGAACCTGTCCACTTGCTCAGAATCCTTCTCCAGCTGGGGTGCCCCAAACCAGGGAGAAGCTTTTTCCAGTATTGAGAAGAATAAAAGAACCACTTTATATGCTTTACAAATAATACTGCTTTCTATACATTCCAGTATGTCTTTTATGAAGGTATGCTGTTGTCTCATGTGCAACTTGTGATCCACCTATCATCTCCAATTCAGACCTGTTGCTTTGTCAATCCTTCTTCACCTGCGTTTATGCAAAAGATTACTTCTATATAAACACAGAAGTTACTATTCATCCTCATTGTCATTACATGTCATTCTTTGAACCAAATTCTTAAAATAATTTCTTCAGCTCATACTACTATCCTGTAGTATTTTCCAGGTAGTATCACTAGCAGCAAATGCTAATTCCATCTTTTCAATCATGAATTAAATATTGTATAGTCCCTGGAGAACATGCTTTAACACATCCAGTCTGACAGTGAAGCATAATTAACTGTTTCTTGAGAACAGCTTTCCAACCAGTTATACGTCTGTCTAATAGAAATTTAATCTTGTCTACATTTCCTGATCACAAATGACTCAAGTGAAGGAAAGAAGACTAACATGGATCCAGACATGCCTGAAGGGCTTGTCTGGCCACAAGAGTGATAGTCACCTGTGCATGACTTCAGCTGAAGTGTGAGAGCTCATATTTATTGACTAACTTGAGAAGGAAGGATATTGGCAGACCCTAGAATTATCTGAACAGCATTCTGTTGTTATTGCCTCTTCTCCTCAGAGTCAAGGAGTCCAACAGTTGCAACTGATATACACTGGGAGATTCGGTCCTTTGAAAGTCCCCTGAATCAAGCAACTGCCTAGGTCAGGAAACACAGACTCTGTTTTGATCATACACATTATTTTCAAAACATTGAGGAGGATCTTCTATGCTATGGAGAAATGCTGTATGTAAGCACTTGGATAGTGGAAAAGCCACTCCAAAATATTTAGATATGAAAACATTTTGTATATATAAATAAGCAGGCATCCTGATCGTCGAGAGTGATACATTAGTCCCTGTTTTGATTAGGCAGGGTTACTGTGACTGAAGTCATCATATTTAAGTGTTGCTTATGACTGAAAGAATGCAAACTGTTTTGTCATCCTCATACCAGAAACCATCTCCTACAAAACAACATGATATGCTGGGAAACTGACTTTATTGCTGCCTATTCCCTTCCCCTTCCTGTTGAAGCAGGCTACTGATGGAAGGGTTCCAGAAAAGGGATGGCATAGCAGACTAGTAGAGGAGCAAACTGCCAAGAAATATTTTGATATACAGTATCCAAGGCTAGAGAGTGGTGGTGTGTAACTAAAACGGGTTGAAATAGATTAGCTTAACCTTGAGCAGATGGATAGAAAAAGATATAAGAAGAATGCAATGTCACCACTATCTTAAATGCACATCTGGCTGCATCTAGCACGTTTGTGAAAGGTCATAGTTACATGAAGGATGCTACTTAGCTTCACCATGAAATACACCTGTGACCTGGTGGGCAGGAGACTAGTGAAACTCATAAGCTTGGGGTTCTACAGCAGTAAGTAACAGCTGGGCAAACAATAGGAAGCTAAAGGATGCTAAAGATTTTTTTCAAGTGTAAGTGTCTGAAGCTCCTTTACCACATAGATCAAGACTGTTTTGTCCTTTCAGATATATCTGAGGCAATTTCAGAGCAGGAAACCACATGAAAAGAAAAACAATCCAGCCTTCTAGCATGTACTTGGTATTTTCTGTCCATTTTGGGAGCTTGAAGAACAGGAAATAGGAATATTTCCTGACATGTTGACTAGACTTAAGATGTCTTAATTTCCAAGTAGAGCCATCTTCACTGAAACAGTTCCTTCAGTCTGTGAAGTATGTCCGGAAATCTAATAATGGTACTAATATATCTTACAGTGAGAAACAGTCAGGTTTTTAAAATATGTCCTGGAAAGATTTCTTATGGAGTCCAAATAAAGAAAGGGCTATGGCTTAACTCCCAGAGACTGAAACACCTTTCTACTGAATCGTTGCAAGAGAATCATTGCTGGTGATGGATCAGAGGGATGGTTGGGAGCTGATGATAAGGATGACTGTGATTCACCCTGTGCTTGCAGATGCTTCTACCAGGTATCTGGCAGGAAGTACGCTGGTGCAAAGTAGAATCGTGGAATTATAGAATATCTCAAGTTGGAAAGGACCCGTAAAAGCAGTCCTAAAATTGTACTCTGTGGTGTCAAGTGCAAAGGAGTGCTGCGAATTTTAACATTCTCCAGTTTTGAGTGATAAGGGTGCACACAACTTGTGACTCTGCACATGGACATTTGCACTGAGCAGAAATAGTATTTGTGGTGTGAACTGCAGCTACACAACAATAAAATTTGTGGCGTCCCTTTTTTTGTGCATATCCCTTTTCAGACAGTAGTAGAACAGTTCATAGCAGCATGTCTAGGGACATCTGGAAAAAGCAGGAGTTTTTTTGACAGTATTAGTACTATATAAAATGAAGAAGAAATAATTTCTAATCCCTGCACTCCAAGTGAATTTGTCTCACATGTTAAAGAGACACAGTTTCACTTTTATAATAAATGTCAATATATCTGTGAGTTTTAAAATTTTTAATAATGGACTGGAAA